CCTATCCACTGCATGCATTATGACATGATCAAAGTTATGAAGAGCATTGTTAGCCGAGAGGCTGCAGCCAGACAGCATGAACAGAAAGTGGTGACTGGTAATGGTGGGGAATGCATCCTGAAGCTGGAAGTGGAGAGCGCGTTCACGTAGTGTTATACTGGGAGTTGTATTTCTTCTAAATCTGTACCATCCTACAACATTCTGAAATATGAATGTATACTTTAAGGAAATGCCATATATGTTTGTTAAGATTTTTTATTATGTACTAAAATGTCAAAGGTTTAATTGAAAAGGAAAGACTGGATTTACAATTCAGAATCAACAAATAGTGAAAATTAAAAGATGTGAAAACATGTGCAACAGGCAGTGTTATAGCATTTCACTTTCCAAAAATACACAAAATGGGATTTCAAATACATGACCTGACAAGCATATGTATATATATATATATATTAAATATATTTTAAAACAGGTGCAACGTTTTATCGTCACTAATTATCACAAAATATTTTTTATCTTAGTGGTTGGCTGAACAGTGCTTGCAAAAGTACCTTAATTTTTTCTCCTAGTAGTTCAACCAGCTTCTGAAAGTTCAGTGAACCAGCAGAGTTGTAGAAGCTGAACAGGCCCAAGCATGGTATGTGGGACTGAATGGCTAAAATAAAGAAAACATTATTGCAAAGAGCTATGTTTGTCTCGGAGACATCCTAAATAGTAAACATTTAAAATCCAGACAATAACTTCACCAACTTTTTTGGTGTTCAAACCAACTTTTTAGGTTTTCTGATGCAACCAACCTTCATAAGACAAAGATACAATGCACAGAAATGTTTAAACCACATCCCTGAGCTGAACTGAAAGATGTAAGCAAATCCTGTTTCTCCATCCAGATGAACTCAAATTTGATTTTTTTAAACACAACCAATCTGATACTTCTAATTAACAACAAAATGTCGACAAAAAAGCTAGAAATCACTTGAAAGACTTCTTTTTTTTAAATCTGAGGCAGCACAGTGCTTTGAGCATTGGACTTGGGCTAGCTAGAGGGCTGTTGACCTTTTTCACAAACATAATTTCCTATCAGCTTCACTCTTTTAAATGTCATGTAGAACTGATATGAGCAGATATGTTAGAGTTTGAACCTAAATGTTCATTTTTATTGCCTTTTCATGAATTGTTATTTGCTTTACCATAAAACATCGGCAGAATTCCAAACACTTTTTTTAATAGGGTTGCATGTTTTATTTATTTATCTATTTATTTATTTGTTTATTTATTTTACTTGAGGGCACTTTTTCTCAGCCTGCAGGGCTGGATTACTATGTATGATGTCTTGTACAAATGGCCAATCACCAACCTACCTATGACTGTTTCTTCTTTAACATTGGTTATCTGAGAATCACTTATGGTATCTGTCACACGCATGTGTACTTGTCCAATTAAGAAGCCCTCCTAAAATTAAATCAAATAATTATAACTTTTACATGTAAAACCTAAGGCTGTGTGTACAAGTTACAACAAAATTAACATGTGTTTACAATGCAATGTTAATCATACCAAGGTACATGAGGCTAAGTCTCCATGTCTACAGTCCAATGTTAACACAAAAATATTAGTTTTAATCCTTTTATGGTTAAATTTTCATCATAAAAAGTCTACAATGAGAATTATTCCCTCCCACAACATTTTGTCACAAAATGAACAAATAAGCAATGTAGATAACAGCCAGCCAATCGATTCAACAGTCACTCTGCGATCTAATTACATGATTGCGATTATGTTTAGAAAATATATCCATCACTAACATATGCAACTGGCATTCATTATTTTTGGAAGACATTGAATGACTCACCCAAGAATCTGCTAGTCTTATCCACAAGCAGACAACAAACTGTTTCTTTATTCTAATATAATACTGCATATCAAAATATGTTGCTATAAGCAATATTATGTAAGTAGATGGTTCATCAAGATGTGCAAAATTTACCTGATCGCCTGGACTGTTTATAAGTTCGAAAAACAAGGAAGCGAGTGCAGACCCGCTTACAACCACCGCCATAGTTCCTTATGAATTGTGGGACTGATAAATTTGCCAATAGATGTCAGCAGCTCTTATTCAGCCAGACACTTGTTCAAGACAGCAGCGTCACTAAAGGCTCACGTCCACGCACGGACACTGCAATAACCTAAGTTGAAGGTGCACACTGGACGTTAGGGCGAAGTTTTAAAGATAAATAAATGCACTTTTATGTAATTCCAGAAATTATGTAATTTCAAAGATATAAGGTACTCGCCAAAATGAATTATTTGGGGAGGGGGGGGGGCGAAAATAAAGGGCAATTTTTCTAACCAACTTGTAGCACAGCCAGTTCATATTGGAAATCGTGTATAAAAGTATTAACGCATGAATTTTCGTGCTATGCATTTGGATTAGATGCTTTATATCGTTTTCAATTTATAATGATCTGGTTTTGAATAACTGCATGGCCGGTTATTTAGAACGACATGACACCCTGTAGCCTACAGTCTCAAAGGACTACCGACGTAAGGGTAATAGACATATCAGGGAATTTCAAACGCGTACAGTATACAGGGGTGGATCCAGGATTATTTGAAGTGGGGTCCGTTTTTTACAAATGACAGGCCGCGGATGCGAAGCCGACCCTCGCACCCCCCTCCCCCTTGATGTGGGGTTCGGGGTCCGCTGAAGGGTCCCGAAAATTTTTGATATTTTAGAGGGCGAACGGTGCCATTTGGTACGGTTTAGAACTATGATTCAGCTAGTCAAAATTCTAATTCCAAGAGGATACCATTGCTGTAATTTTTTAAAGAAATCGAAGTGGGGGGAGAGGTCAGGACCCCCCTGATCCCCCCCCCCCCCCCCAAAAAAAAAAAAAAAAAAAATCGGCCACTGAGTATACGTTTTACATTTAATCCCCAATGAAATGTCAGGCCAGCCTATCTTCTGCATTTTTCGCGATATTGAAAATTTAAGTTGATCCAAATAATGTTACATTTAGGTAGGCCTATGGCATTGTTCGCTTTATGATTAATACCTATTAGGTTTGAAGGCGTCATGTACATGTACTAAATGCTTGCTGTCCAGAATATTAGTGATCAGTAGATTTCAGACCTGTCCAACAGACAGTATCTACAATTTTTTAAAAAAGGACCCCATTATAAAAGAGCCCATAAATCCTGAAATTCAAGACAGACTTGCGGTTGTAGGAGTGAGTTGTCTTTATTGTCACCTATTACGCGCTTAAGTTTAGCCCTTTTGCTGATATCTGTCACGGCCGTCAACGGCGTCCTAATTTAAGGTGCTCTTTTGCTCATACGGTGACAACTCAAGGAGGAAGAGGCAAAAAATAAAATTTAACGCCAAACAAGTGCGTTTTGGTTGAAACCATGACCTGAAAAGACCTATATGCACCTCTATAACAAACCATATTAATTCCTTTCTTCATTTCAATGAAACCAATTATAAGAATTATTCATGTCCACAGTTGCTTTCTGCCATCTTCTGATTTCTTACATTCAAATTAAACAATCCAAGGTATCCCTGAAAAACTTAATTGAAAAGATCGGAGATTTAATGAAAAATCAATGTAATACGTTAACAAATTAAACGAAAGAAATATATTGAAAGAGCTATTTTCTTGACAAGTTTTTAGTGTTTGGTGTCCATCGGCCTGTGGACTTCGTCTCAAACTGAGAAATTCGATTTCCCCGTTTGATAAATGTTAGAAAATAACTTAT